ACCAAGACCCCTTGCTGATGGTGTTATTGTGGCCGCCTCATGGCTCCCTTCAATGACATTCACTGACGCCACCAAAACCAACCTCCTGCTGAAACATCACTACTCTTAGCAAAATCTTCGACATGACCACAATCACAACGTACTTGGTTTTGAGCTCCTTCTTGCCACGTCCAAGAGCCGGCAGTGCTGGCCTTTTTCCCACGAATTTTCATCAGGGCTATTTTTACTCTCAACTTTGCCTTATTTCGCCACACACCTATACGGGGAGACAAACAGATTTTTCGGTGCACGAATTTTTCAGACTAGAAGTTCCCGTATCTTCAGTTGATTTTTTTACTCGCCACTGTATTGTTCTGAGCATGCTCTGGGATACTGTGAGCGTTCGACCTCTCTCCGCAATTTTCAGAAGTTCTGACGGCAGTGCGGGTACCCGACAGGAGGCCCGTCGCGCGGCAAGAAGGCAGAGGACGAGTCGCAGCGCGTGATGTGCGATGTAGGACGTACAATGGACATTCTATTTAACTTGACGCGAAATCACCTACAGTACGCGCTGCGACTCGTCCGCTGACTCGGCCTTCTTGTCGCGCGACGGGCCTCCTGTCGGGTACCCGGCAGTACTAGAGGCTGTATTTTAAAGACTCTCGCTTGTTTCGGATGAAGTGAAATCATACGCCAAAATAGAAAATGGACATGCTGGAACGATATATTCCGCCTTTGAGTCCACTGTTGCGCGTCTGCGCTTTTCAGGTGTTGTTCTACCCTGTGGATTACCTAAAAATCCATCGCATTTCACTTCATTTCACAGCACCGTAGTCAACTGTGAACTTCCTGAGGTAAAAACCATTTGTCTTTTCGATTTATTTATTCATGCCAAACATACTACTGTACCGACGACGCATATTCTAATATGAGAGCAAAGAAAAATGAGCTGTACTATGAGCAGTCCAATACATGAAAAGGCTAAATACGAGGACAAAATTCTGAAAAAAGTCAGCATTATAGGCCGAAGAAAGAATAGCTCGGAGAAGACTTCAATACAAATAATAGATTGGCGCTCAGATAGAATACTGGCTCGGCTTGTTCTAAATAATATTTTGACGGATTTTGTTTTGGTTTTTTTCTTAGGAAAGCAGGCTGTCTAAAATGCATCGAATCTTCTCAGGTGATTTTTTGGTTCGATTTGAGCGCACAAAGCTCAGCATTTTTTCGATGAATTCAATAGCGTAGCGATTCTATCGAGGAGGCTCCCTTCGACGGCACCGCTCACTGCGGGGTTGTTGTCGTTGTGGTGTCGGTTACGGTCTTCTTCTTGTAGTATTTTGTGGTCACGTGCCTGAAAAAGGGTTCTGCTTTTATTGATTGCAATTTGATTTTTCTTGTGTATTTTTCCAAATAAGCCCTTGAAGGTGCAGATGTTACAAGACCATGACGGGGGGACGGATCAGGGGAGGGAGAATTGAGGGCGTTTCAGGTGTGGGCCCAGGAACAGCTCACCCCCGTGAGGATTTCCAATAATTTTCTGATTTTTTTCCGGAATTATACGACCCCTCCCGAAACGCCAAATACGTTCTCCCTCTCCCTGTCGTAGAACTCTACTTCTGCTCACTCTGTCCCGAATAAGTATCAAATTATGGACCACTTCGATTTTGAATGAGTGCTACATGTGTGGCGCATTCTCGGAGGTCTAGTCAAATTTTACATTATTTCTGATTAAAACAACCATAAGACATTAATCGAAGCGTAGGCGAAGAGAAAGGCGAACCTTGAGATTACACCGGGCTCCAAATCGGTCTCCACCACCCTTTTCTCTTCCTCCTTCAGAAGCGCGTATTCCTTGCCAGGGTCAACAGCTGTCTGTGTTTCTCGCTTATAAGAGACGTCATGGCCCTGTTGGTCTCGGTATCCACCCTGCATCACTATTTTACAAAAAATTTACTAGGCTTACAAAAGCCCAAACGCTCACATAGGACCCCACATGGAGGATATACGGCACTACAGTCCTTGTTGATGGGCACGCACTTAACTAGCTACAAAAATTATGAACCAGGGATGCGTCATACCACGCAGGGTACGTTGCTCACGGGGTTCACGTAGCATTACCAGAGAACGTTCAAAATCCGAAATTAATGCATGTTTCACCCTCATTTAGACTGTTAACGTCCATAGTCACGGACATAACGGACAACGAGAAAAATTACTCAATTTTAATCGAAGCTGAAGTTTCTAAGGTTTTTTTTTACCATCAACCGTTTGCAATGGACGGCCTGACGCACCCATGGTGGGCTTTTTTTTTCTTTTTAGATAAGAGATGCTCCCACTGCTAGCACTTGCTAAAAATCAGTGAATCCTTCCGTGCTTTCGGCACGACGTTGGAAGGAGGAGGAGGGGGTATAGGTGATAGGACCCAATACTATATCATAGTTCGACGGCAACGCTTTCTTCTTTTGGGCCCGGTAGCGGTCTCGCTCAGTAACTGCTTTACCCTGCCTACATTTCCTTCTCAGCCCTTGAGCTCATCCATCTGCTCTCAGTTCATATTGTATGGAAATGCTAACAGTCCCCTACGGCAAGATGATGCTCACGTTCGCGCTGCAGCGGAGTTCTTTCAAAATGGTAAACAAATCAGATACCTGAGTATTAGCATGTGTATTGCTAATACTTCCCAGTGGAAGAGTTTCGTTCATCTCTTCCTTTTTATTGAAGACATCCTGAGCGGAAAAGTTTCGGTTCGAATCCGAAGTGTAGAGGGTTGTCGTTCCAGGGATGGTTCTGGAAAATTTTCACCATCACACCCGCTACAGGTCACCGAATCTCGTAAGATCTTCATGCAAACGAAATTTCTGACTGAGATTTCCCAGGTCTTGCGAAAATTTATACTCAAAAAATGGAAGGCTAAAGATGCGCGCGGTCGCGGCGCGGCTGCGGACTTCCAAGTCCGATTATGGAAATCAAAGCTGTATCTAAGCCTTAGTTTTTGTACCGGGGTTTCATTAAGTTATTACGGATTTCGTCTGTAGAACTGCTCAGAGTCATTGCGCGCCCTATTGGTCACGACCGCGTTGCGCCCGCACGCAGCCAATGTGCACCAGACACACAAATTTGTTGCATGAATAAAAACGAAATAATTCAACAGAACACACTTACTTGGTTTCCGTTTTCTCTTCCACATTCCTCTTGAAACTCTTCTGTTCACTGAATTGGCTGAGCTGCGAGACTGGGCGACTGGTCTCTTCGCGATGAGTCTGGAAATGGAGAGAAGCTAATTAATCGAAATTTCACGAATTTCTCTTTTATGTGTACAAGATATACAACCGACAAGAATGAATTTATATCTTAGAATATTATCGATTAATTCAATAATGTTTCAAAATGTTTTATGATTAGTAATTCCAAACGTACATACCTCCTCCCTATGTCTGCTCATATGGGCCTGGTAATTGGCCTGAGTCGCTGGTAGAGGCTGTGGAGCCTCGGTGGTGCTCTGAAAAGCGAAAACTCAGAAAAATATAATTTTTGTGTTCATATTTAATATTTATTTTTTTTTTTTTTTTTTTTTTTTTTTTTTTTTTTTTTTTTTTAGTTTAATTTTATATATCTACCATATTCCATTACGAATTATTCTACTGTTTGTGGAGCACTAAGACGAGCTCCAATCAGAGACGGATCAACTCCGAGAGAACACAAGGTTCGTTGTCCAACCAGTTACTAGGCGAGACGGCCTTACCAGGGACGTCTTCCAGGAAATGCCCAGCTTTCTCGAAATGGTT